CCCCCCCCCCCCCCCCCCCCCCTTTTTTTTTTCTTTCTTTTCTCTCTCTCTCTGTGTGTGTGTGTGCTCACTTATATCACAGGCTATGGGCACCGTTGTTTTCTCATCTCTCTTTTTTTTTTTTTTTTTTGTTTGTTTGGCCCTGAAGGCAGGGAAATGATTGAATGAATGAAGGAAGGAAAGAAGCGTCATGAGGTTTGCGGTGCCCTCCGTCACTGAGGGAAGACAAAAAAAAAAAAAAGGAAGAAGGAGGAGGGGGATACGAAAAAAAAAAGCCAGCATGTGCAGGCATGCAGTAGTCTCCATGCGTGTATATATATATATATATACCTGTGGAGCAGGCATTGTGCGGGTGTCACATCGTTTCCTCACGCAAGGCCGTGTGGACAATCAGACACGCGATAGTTCGTACCATTATGACATGACACCCCTTTTCTTCGCTTGGTAAAGCGGTGGCAGCGGTGTGTGTGTGTTTGTGGGCTGGTCGACGCGGAACAACTTGTGAAGATGGGAAAAGAAGGTGCATGAAGAATACACACAAAGGAAATTGCCACATCACTCCTCGTATTTACGCGGTGGGGGTACAATTAAACATCCTTCACCACTGCACAGGCTATGACGTCCTTCAGAGCTGCGATATATATATATATGTTGACGGCCTCGTCTTGGGAAGAACTGTCAATTCTAATCTTTTTTTTTTTTTTTTTTTTCTGTTTCCCCTCCATCATACCCTGTGCCGAGGCCAACGGGACCTCCTGGTTGCTATCGTTGCACTGGTCAAACAACCAGCAGCCACCCCCAGCCGTGCACGCACATGCACACAGCTGTGACAGGAAACACAGGCCCGCTGCTTCCTATTCCATTTATTATTTTTATTTTTGCTTCGCTTCTTTTCTTTTTTTTATCCCACTGGGCAGAGGAGTGTACCTTTTTCCCTTTTCCGCTTCAATTCTGCGGAAGGGATGCCACCGACTGCGGACGGCCGGGCGTGCCCATTGGGGGATGTGCCGCTTCGTGCGGTCTTGCGCCGCTCATTGGAGGAACCACCGGGCTCGCCGCTCACGACGTGTGGGGCGGGTGTTGTGCAGACGTCACCGACCCTGTCGTGGGTGTCCGCCGAGTCGCTCGACAGCATCATCTCGCTGGCGAACCGGACGGAGGAGCAGCTGGAGCTGGACGGACTGATCTACCGCCTGTGCCACTCCCTGTACTGCGTGGCGAAGAGCAAGTCCGCGCGGATGCACCGGCGCCCCGCGAACGATGGGTACGCGTCGGTTGGTGATAATGCGAGCCGGTTTCACAACATGCGTGGGCACGAGGACTGGTGCCCGCTGCGCCACCTCTTTGACCCGTCAAGCTACTACCACTCGGTGGGGAAGTCGTCCAATCCGCATGTTGGGTGCAGATGTCTCGAGGAATCGCATGGGCCGCTTGACGGCCCCGCAGGTGTGTCGCAGTGGCTGGCGGATGAGCTGGATGTGACGCGACTCTCTGGCGGGAATAGTAACCACGTGTACCGTCTTGGCCACGCCTCGTATCCCGGGAAGGCCGTTCTGCTGCGTGTGTACGGTGACAGGGGCGGCGAGGCGATTGACCGTGCGCGGGACATAAAGGCGATGCGGCTGATGAGCAATGCCGAGATGAGTCCAGCTGTGCTGCACAGCTTCCACTGGGGCCGCGTGGAGGAGTTCATGGACGGTGTGTACACGTGCACGACGGATATGCTG